CGCATCACGACCATCCCACGAGAAAAACATTCCTTGGCTTGTTGACATTTTTCTGAATCACCGGTCAAAGATGAAGATGCTATTGTTTTTGGCACGAGGTGTGAACCCGTCAACAAGTTCCTACGTCACATTACGTCGCAATCAACCACAGAAGTCAATTCCATTGTTGTTTCTATTAATCATAATCAGATTTCCCCATCCCCCGGGATTCCGCACGGGGGATAAAGGTCATGTGACACACGACCCCAAACAAGAGTCAAGTGTACACATTACGTCATTCATTGTCCTCCCTGACCGAGTCGTATATCATAAGTTACGGATTAGCGAACCAGATTTGTTGATCGAAGAACAATTCGTCCTTAAGACAAGCTTAAGTCAGAAAGATCAAATCATATTCTGTTTGAACCTTTTCAAGATTTGAACTCATCTCGAGAGAGAGTTGCCCCAAGGCGAGACTTATCCCCAGCTATGTTATGACGTCACAAAGGTCAGCCATGGACAGTGTTGTCCGCCAAGAGCACGTTTGCTTGACGTGTGACGAGGTTTAATGCGACACCCGAGACGTCATGTCTGCGTTCTACTGGCGGATGTACCAATAAAAATAGAATCGTTTTGATACACTTTAAGATGCGTGAACTGACCTTTCATGTTTTTTGTTTCATGCAATTGTTTTTTAAAACAGCTGTGTACCATTTCATGAATTATATTTCAGAACAATGTTTTTAAACACATTTGGACGCTGAGAAACTTTCCTCGCTGTATTGATAAGTTATTGTATTTCAAGAGATGATCTTGTTTCAAAATACAAATATATACTTACATGTTACCCCACAACTCCCCAAAACACACAAATGTTTTAAATGGATCAAATTTTCTGAGTATCAGCTTTTCAACATAAAAATAAATATATGCTAGTGTTAGGTATTAGTGCAACAAATGTACCGACATGAGAAACTAACATTTTGAGATTTATTTTTTTTTAAATTACACACATTTTCGATTAGTACTTGGTAAATTGTGAAAGTGAAGGTATCTCGTTTTGTATTGTTCTAATTACGGGATTGAAGCAAATTAGTGACATACAAGAACTACTTGATGTCAACTGTGTTAATCTTTGTCATACTGTATCTCACACCGTATCGTCCCTTAATCACAAATTTATCATTTTATAAAATGAACTAAAGATGGATTTTTAGGTAAATATACTCATGCCAATAATGGTTGTCACCCCCCTCCCCAACCCAACCCCACGCACACCTCACACCCCTACCCCACACCCCCTCTCCAATTAAAAAATTGAAGGGGGTGACAACCATTATTGGCATGAGTATATTAAATTGTGAAGAGGCTAAAAGTATAAAAAGTTTAAACTTAATACCCTCCACAGTAAATGTACGATTCAAAACAAAAAATAGGCTCAATTTGCTTTTTGTTTCAAGTTCATTCATTTAATATTTGCGAAGGAAACATCAGTTTTAATTTAAGTTTTATACACACTAACCAACATAATATATGGAAACCGAAATCGTCATGACAAGTGATGTGATCTTTACACAGAGGATAGACAAAAGCAAAGGCCATGTTACCATGTTTGGTTCAAGTTATATTCTACATGCATATTCAATTGTCCATCCAATTATTTAAGCGAAATTCCATTTTATACTTGTATAGCTGACACAAACCATATCACCATTCTTCTAATACCAATAGGCACTTAGGGGAATGTCTCTGTTTGTTGCTTGTAGAAATGGTTTCTATTTATGAAAGGTCAGGAGGCATGTTGAAAATAGGCCCACATACATATCCGTTTGCGTAATTAACGTATCGCGTTACGAGTAGTATGTTAATGAAATTCTCCTTAAATGTCAAATGTCCTGAATCTTGAACACTGAAAATGAACAGATACACTGATGCAAATGCTTGCGTCTTGTAAACAAGGCTTACCATGAACACTAATTCAACGTGAACAGTGTTATGATAATAACGATAATAGTAATAATGATAATAGTATTAATAATAAAAGATGTGTTTTTTAGTCTGTAGCATTAAACTTAGTCTTGAACGTTGTCAGTGTTGTTATGATTGTTATATTATTATCTTTGTTATCGTTATTATTATTATAATTACTTTAGTGGATTGGGTGGTCAGATTTAGTGATTTTGTCAGTACACAACCTGGAGATGCATCACTATATAGTGGATGTTTATGATTCAATCACTGTATTGTCTGGTCCAGGCTCGCCTGTTTACAGCTCGCAATAGTGAGTGAGTGAGTGAGTTTAGTTTTACGCCGCTTTTAGCAATATTCCAGCAATATCACGGCGGGGCACCAGATATGGGCTTCATACATTGTGCCCATGTGGGGAGTCGAACCCGGGTCTTCAGCGTGACGAGCGAACGCTTGACCACTTGGCCGCCCCAGCTCGCAATAGAGTTGCATAGTGTGACGTCAGGCAACAGACAAACACTTAATGTTTACATGAAAATTTGAGTGGCAAGGTGCTACCAATACAGAGGACATGCTTTCCAGTTTCAATAACACCTGGTGTCAGACCTTATTTTCAGTGATCCGTTCATAAAATGTTATCATTAATTACCTTTAACGCAGTGAGTGAGTGAGTTGGGTGTTATGCCGCTTTTAGCAATTTTCCAGCATTATCACGGTAGGGGAAACTAGAAATGAACACATTGTACCCATGTGGGGAATAGAACCCGGGCCTTCGGCATGACGAGCGAACGCTTTAACCACAAGGCTACCCCACCGCCCCTCTTTATCGCAATGGAATGTGTTTCGGAGACATTCGAGAAACGCTTTTGGATTAACGTTATAATTTAAAAACAGTCACCATTATCACTATCATTAAAATTATCGTCACAATAATCACTATTGGCAGCTTATCAAATTCCGATAAAATTTGAATAATTATTATGAAGTACATAAAATGGCGATTGTAGCTGAATTCGTTACACCCACCAATAACATTATAGCCTGTAAAACCGTTTTCATGACATTGTTTAACAGGTTACTTTCGCGATGATCTTGGCTGTAACCAATGAAAACCAAGACATCTCTGCCACGCGCTGACCAAATCCATCCTCTCGGATCTGTCTCAAGTTGTCTAACACGCAATTAATATAAGTATCGTTCCCAGAAGCCCACACATTAATCAAACTGGATAATACATATTCATATACGCCTAATCCCGGCTAAGGCGATGCCACACGCCCGCCGCACGCTGGAACTATAATAGACATAACAATTATCGCACGGTACAAGGGAAGTAATTATGTAGCACTTACCGTGTCAATACGAGGGAGGTGGGACTTTGGCCGATCAACAAGGAAGAATTTACAATACCGCATGTAGTAGCCGTATTGAAAACAATCCTTACTTGATGTATGTATTGTGAATAGCGTATTCGTGTCAGCGTATTCGTAGTTGAAGATACAAATCTAAAGTTGTTTACTTTTACGTTTAATGGATTACAAAAACGTGGTGCATACATGCTTGATCTCTTTACAGCAAAAAATAAATTAATATTTTAACATTATTCCTGCTTGAACAAAACAATTGTAAATTGTTTAGCCTTTAATGATCTTAATGACGAATAATCTGATTGTGGTTATAGGATATTACTGTTCATTAAACACATCCTATACTTTTGACTTAGAAATTAAAGTTGTATCAAAATTATTTTAAAACTGAAGTATTTTTTTAAAAATTGTCTGGTGTTCTGAATAGTTTTGAAATCTGACTATAAATAACACTTTTATTGATACATCTTAGCTACAATGATTAAAGTCTGAAAATAAGAAAAAAATGTACCATGCAAAGATTTACGACATGGACTGGATACAAAGTGCATGTTTTATGTTTACCATAAATGTCTTCCACAACAAAACGTGAAATGAAACAGGATTATAACAGCTATGTGAAATACGAAACAAAATACTCTTTTAAACGGTTGTGGGTTTTTACAAAGGCTTGGCGCAGTAAGTATCGTTTTGACACATAGCCAAAAGAAAACACAACAGTCGAAATGCTACTCCGGTGTTGATTTGTATAAGGATATTCAATTTATTATTTTTGTAATTGAGCATATTCCAGAGCTGGCAGGGGTAAGGGATCCAGTTCTTGGAATGACTGACGGAACAGGCGCCAGTGTAGGAATATAACTTCCTCTTTTTTCTTTGTCCGTTTTTGACATAACCCGAGCAAGCGCCAATCTTATCCTAGAGTTCTGGCAGTTGTCAAACAGCGAGATAGGCCAATTTGTACATTTCATTCTGATGTCCAAAACAAATGTATTTCCGACTAACGCGATTCCACCACATCTTGCAAATTTGACTTTCCCATTTAAATCATTTGACGCGTGTCCCCACGAGAGTTATGGCAACTGGTAGTCGCCTCTTCCTATCTAAGATAAACTCGTAAATTCATTAATAATAACGACAGCCTTCCGATCGGATTCTCGATTCAACAGTTTCAGAAGGACGGTGTCTCCTTTTACGTAACAGTTTGTCTGTTGGGTCTGAAATCCATTTCGCTTGACCTGTGGTCATCGTTGAGTTGACAACGCGAGTGCGCGTTCAATAAATCACTTGGACGTAAATCTGTTTAACAAAACTAAATCCTGTCCGTGTGGGAGTGATTCTCAACACCTGCTTTGATTGAGGAAAATTTATTGCACTGTGAAAGAGACGGCCGCTGCCCTAACTATCGAAAAGAAATTTAGGGCCCCCCCGAACTGTTTGGCGATGAATCCCGGCGAAAGTGTCCCACAATGCCAGGCAATCGCCAATCATTCAAGTTTACAAACAATAGAAATATCGTTTTCCAATTTGATGTGTTTATCAGCCTCAGTAGCCGCATGGCAATTATCCCGTGAACGATTTCAATTGCTAAAGGGATACAGTAAATTTCGTGCTCTTTGGCTGTCAACAGTGATTCATAACTCGACGGCGCTGCAAATTGATTGGTCGCTGCTATCACGTGACCTGCCGTGGTAGAGTAGGGGAGGGACTTTATGACTCGAATACAAGAGAAACTCGCTGGGCGAATTATTTACTGCCGATTCGGCCAAAATTAATGGCCATGAGTTCGTTTTTGATGAACCCTAGCTCGTACACAGAGCCGAAATTTCCCCCAACCGAAGAATATACACAATCAAGTTATATACCTACACACGGAGCAGACTTTTACCGTGCCAGTTTCTCGAATTTCGGATACAGTACAAACGGTGAGTCCCATCGGCGTTACGATGAAGGGAAATCACCTAACGGCTCTCCGTTCGCTTGTAACAGCGTACCCCAGGGACCTGCCAACGTCGGGTCGTGTGTTAACGGCTACAGCCAGCCCTCCATGTCCCCCAGCCCTCCGTCCGTTGCCACACACTGCCACCCCCCACCCTCCTCGATATCGACCGGGGGGTCAGGCTCTAGTCCGCCGAATACTTGTGCGCAGGAGAAGAACGGAGGACAGCCTATCATTTACCCATGGATGAGGAAATCACAAACAACCGCAGGTGAGAAATATGTTGCATATTGAAAAAAGTGTCCCAAACAGTTTGGGGAGTCTTATAACTTTCACAAAATGCCATGCTGAGTTGTAACCATAACTTAAAAAGTCCCAGTCTGTTTTGGGAATCAAATACCGTTTATGAATCCCAATGTTTCATTAAACCCCTCACCTGGAAATACCAAAAACATTTCAGATCGATTATGTGTTACAATGTAAAAGTTAAATTGCCTCTCTGTGTCATAAATATTTTTTTTTAAAAAACCCAAATTCTGTAGGCCCTGCGTGAAAAAAAAGCCATAACTAAAATGTCCCAAACATATTAGCGAGTTCAACACCTGATTTAAGATCCTCTGCTTGATGTTATCCCATATGTGAAGAAAGTTTCAAACAGTTTGGTAAATCCAATACCTATTTTGAGACCCAACTCTCAGTCTCACATATCTGAAAATGTCCCAAGATGAGACTGAGATCCCCTGCACAGTGTTGTCCCATACCTGGGAATCTGATATTTCAGTCCCATGTCAGACACAGCATATATCCAAACACAAAAAATCAAATAGTTATAAATATCCTATATGAATACCACTAACATTACTCCATACTCGTGAAGACTAGTACCCATTCACTGTTTAATCTCTATGTTAGACCAATTATTTTTATCAAACAAAGTTAGCTTGTACAAATGCCAAAGAGACCGGTGTGTCTATTCGAGATGTGGTCATTTTGACACGATATCAGTGCAAAAACTATACCTGTCACATATATCTCTAATGATATATAGACGATCATATATCTTCTCATGTTATGAATGCACTGTATATAATTCATGACTCTGTGAGGGACTCACAAACAACATAAGATTGTGTTTCACATTTCATATTTCGTAACTAACTCGCAATACAAAATTACCATAACTGTACAGTACTCCCTGAAGATTCAATGACCAAGTGATCTGCAGTTCCCCCAGACATCCTTCAGTCATATTTTTATATTTCATATTGTAATATATATAATCCATAGTGAACAGTCATTTAATTTAATATTTGAGACAACTGTGAAAACATATATGCTTACTTCAGTTAAAACAGTCAAGGTATTCACTACCGATCTCTAAATATCGATCTCCAGATGTCGATCCATCATAGTGTATAAACTAGCCAGGGCCTCCTTTCACAAAACACTAAGGTGATCGTAAGTCACTAAGGTAACCCTAGTGCAGTGTTAAAGAATGGGAGTTAAGGTTAACCTTAGTAAAGATTGCTTCGTGAAAGGAGACCCAGGAGTGTAGATGACCACCAACACGACCAGGTATGATTGTAAAAACCATGTAGGTAGAATATATATGTCATCAACAGATCATTCCGTCGACACGACCAGGAAAAAACACAACTTTCCTCTCATACCTCTCCAATTTCATTCAAAATCACCCAAATAGGAATGTTTGAAAGGAAAAGCTCAACCACCCTTGAGGTTATACAGAAAGGAAGGCAATTGAAGCCTAGTGTTAAATTTCATTTGTTATCAATGAGAGCACAAGCTCTTTTGTGTCATGTACGCTCTAATGATTATTACTATTGTCTTGTAACAATTAAAACTATTTTCCTAACACATCCCCTCTCACGTGAAACCGATAACCGGATTCCACGTTGTCAGGGATAGACGTGTCCTTGTTATGAAATGTACATCAGCTGATAGAAATTCATGACCATCCCTCAGCCCATCTGTTGTCAGTACACCGTGTTCATTCGTTCTACAATATCACATCCTGTTGCAACGTCAGGTGAGGAATACTTAACGGCTCGATGTCGTCGCGATTACCGACGTTTCCTTGTTTTAGGTAGTTCCGGCATCGTCACCACACCTTGTTCACCTGGCATGTAGTAGCAGTGAATCTACATTACATGCGATATAACATCCTCGTGTGAATGGATGATGATAAATCACTGTGCCTATACACTGTAAACCATAAATGTCAAATCTAATGCTCATTATTATAAACAGGTGACGATGTGTAGTTAAAGCAGACAAATGTGTAACTGTAACTTTTCCATTGTAACATATTATTTGTAAATACAGAATAGAGCATTTGATACCTAAGTAATTATTGTATGTCATCTTTAAAAAAATGTAATTTGATATTATGCAAAATATGTAAAGTAATACACATATTTGACGAAGTTATGATAAAACAAAACGTAATAGCTTAGATCAACATGTGAAATAAACATTGGTTATCTAAATACAGCGATACGTCCTGAGTAAACGTGACTTTGTGTACATTTCACCCTGTTGTTCAACAATAGATTTCCGTAAACAATCGACCTCGTTATATGGAACAGCGATTTGTTTTTCAGCAATAATTGAAAGTGTACATATATGATAACACATTTTATTCTAACCATATAAATATGCACAATATTTGTGAATCAAGTTGAATATGTAGAAGTTAGTAATTTATTATGCAAAATGCTTGTGTGTACAGTAATGTTGATGCAAGATAGGTTTAAAAACGGTTGACAAATCACAAAATGATTATGTTTCCTTCTTTGAAAATAGTGATAATATCGACACGAAGGATTATATTTACATGTACACAGGTTCATCAGTGGTACACAATCATTTAAGTATCAAACCTGTGTCTATGCCCAACCTATTCGTAGTCCAACCTATTCGTAAGCCAAACTACCATAAGTCCAACAACCTATCCTAAGTCTAACCAGTTCACTGTTCTCCCAACCAAATCCCAAACATATACCACAAACCATAAACACAGCAAAAGCGAACGTACTCCCTACACGACAAACAGCTAAGCACTTTGGCACGCGTCGTGGTCTAGCTGCCGTCTTATTATCGCCGCTAACGGTGTATTCACGGATATAGTGCCGAGGAATCTATTCATGAGCGTTATAGAAGCCTTAGCGTATCCAACTCAATATAAACATACACACCCAAGCGTAACACATCACGGTTTCATAGCACAGATTAACCGATCTGATAATTAACTGACATCGGACCCGAAAGACGTAGCTACACTTGTTCCTCAAGCTTTATATAGAGCCTCCCAATGCAGGGTCTTATGCCATCTTGTTTTTTTTTTCTTGCCCTACTTAATTTGCAGTCACAATAACGAGCTGTTTCTAACAGGTTACACTGTCTGGGCGATTAGACGTCGCTAATTCCTCATCTCAGGCTGTTTCAACGGATAAACGAGAACTGCTTGATGGATAGTTCCAATCGCTGGCATTACGGCTCTCGCTGTTATTGCGAGTCGATAGTTAGGCGAGGTTATGAATTAGTAATAAAATCAATACACAAGGAGTTAGTAATGAAAAAAGGATTGATGGAATCTGCACGACTGTTTTTTTAAGTGTTGCATCTGCCACCTGGAGAATGGGAATGTGCTAATTTGATAGGATTGTCAACGAGAGCCGCGACAACGGTAAATATTAATGACACGTCGGTTTATTTTATAAGTTATTGCTTTCGTTAGCGAACTACTTCTCCATTACTCAACAGGTGAAAAACACGTGACATAAATCACACAATGCTATATTCATCATGTTGATTTTTAAGTTTCCTATTTTCGATTAACATTTACATTCATTGTTATTTTACTTCTATTTAAATTACGGGGATATTCTTGAGGCACGGATTAGGAATAATCAAGAGCTACGGCTGAAGAGCGAGCAGTTTTAGCCTTAGGCTAATCACACACTATAAAGCGAGACATATATCATGTAGCTGTTCCCGTCTAAGGCTTCATTTCCAGACTATTTAATGGTTTTTGCGGTCTCGTTTCCGACCGAGAAACATGCGAGAGTTTAATTTAAATCAACAGTTGAATTGTAAGCATCGTAAAACTAACTCTGTTATCTCTTAACCAGGAATCGCTGATAAATACATGGTCCAAAATTAATTTTGTTCCAAGGTTTAAACAATAGCCAATTCAAGCGCGATATCTAAACCCACATTTTACTGATATTGGATTTTGTTTGGAAAATGGAATCGGCATCAAAGTTCACCCAAAGTTCACGTAAATTCAAGTATGGCGCTGTTGCAAACTATGAATAAAATATTTCAATACAATTGTCAATAGTTTTCAGGTTATGTTCATTTGAAATGTACAAGCGTATATTGTGAAATGTCACACTCTCCCCGCCGTGAAATCAACACTGTGTTTCCGCTGTGGACGTTTAAATGTATTCGACAGATACACATTTTGAAATGTGTTACACGTTATTACTCCCACCGTGAAGCAGCTCAATCAAACGTAAGTTGTAAAATTAATCTCTTTATTTGATTAATGGCTTTATATTTTGTAACCGGGGATGACAACACGCTGCCTGTTGTTTGAAATAAACATTCATGAGCTAGAGCACGCTTATATTCATATTAGGCCTAAATATTTCAGATTTATGACATCTGATGAAAAATGACTTCATCCAATAAAACCTGCGAATGTTAATAGTGTGTAAAGTAGGGGATACGAAAAGTATAATCATGAAAAGAATAGAAATGAATCGGTCGAAATGATTTATTGTGGGCTGAAGTCGAGACAATGAATTTGTCATTTTGGGGTGAGAAATGTTCATTGTTAAATGTGTATGATGTACTAAGATCGGCTTGTATTCTACAAATGAAACAGTTAATGGTCATGTGCTATTAGTAGACATACTTTTTCAGACCTCTCTGCTTGTTAATATTCCTTTGTCCCTTCTCCAAACGTATCGATATCTTATTGAAATCATCTGCTTCTCTCCTCAGATATATCCGATATATCCTCTCTCTTATAGGACACATGTGCTTTTCTTTTCCTTCTTTCTAAGAATACATCCTCTTTCCTCTCACACAATACATCACCTTCTCCTTTTCCTTTGTCACAGGATACATCCTGGCATCTCTTTCCTCTCTCAAAGAATACATCCCCGTCTATCTTTCCTCTCACACAATACACCACCTTCTCCTTTCCTTTGTCACAGGATACATCCTGACATCTCTTTCCTC